CCTCTCCACCCTTTGAGTAGGGGAGAGGGGAAGCGGGTACAAAGCGGAGATAAGAGGCGTGCGCGTATGGAGCTGGGTTGCTTTTCAGGGGGCTCAGGGGTAGAGGACTTTAATGGGAGTTTATTCCGGAGGAGGTTGAAGGGGTTTCAGATCCCAGGGGGTGAAGAAGGGTCGGATCTGGAGCAGCCAGATCCTGGGGGTGTAGAGTCAGCGTCTGAGGGATATTGGGGGATCTGGCAGACTACCTCATTTCATCGGGAGCTCCCGAATTCCCTGATTTAAATCGGAACTTTCCGAGGTTTCCCCGTGTTGGGGAATTGTCCAGAGCAATCTTCACTTTCTCCGGCAAATCCTTCGAAAGGTGATTCCACAGGATCTCCAAGATCAACTCCCAATCAATAGCCACTGAGCCATTAGCAAATTCAAAGTTTCTTAACTGAAGTACTTTTCACGAAAAGAAGTGTTGGTAAAGCGTGATGTGAAATCAGTCCCAGTGCAGATATTAAACCTTATGAAAGATAAATGCTGAAAGTCCTTTCAATGTCCTCTGACAATTTTAATTGGAATATCATTGTTGTAAAAGCCATCCTGAGGCAGTCGTTTGTATTGAAACAGGATCTCCGGGCCAATAAATTAATAGTTACCATAGCCAAATTCGTGAACGCTGTCAAACCACTCCCAAGCAGCCATCTCTCACAAAACTGCACATTGTTTTCCCTTAATATTTGCATTAAATTTGTTCTCACAGTTCAAAGAAGGGATGCTTTTGTTTTCAGGAGCGTGGGGTCGGTGGTTGGGTGATTGAATAAAGAGGGCTTTAGTCTGCATTTCACTGATGATACCTAATCTATGACTGCTGAATCCTGGTGTCAGATGGAACAATATTGCACCCTCTAGCATGGAAATTCAAGCCACAGTAAACATCATCTTGGAATAATGAGTGGTTTGATGGAGCAATGAGAAGCCCAGTTGATCTGATATGAAACAAATTGCTGGAGAAAATCAGCAGGTCAGGCAGCATCTGTGGCAAGAAAGCAACTTAACATTTTGGGCCCGGTGATCCTCAAAACTAAATAGTAGCCAGGAAAATGCTGAATATATATGCTCAAGAAAGTAAGGAGGGGGTTTGTAATAAAGGAGTAAAGGATAAGTGGAGACTGAATTGATCAGATTGTGAAAGCAATGGTGTACCAGATGTTTTGGAATCCGTGGCCACTGAACTTGCGTGAGAGAAAATGCAGGCCACACCATGGGAAATGAAAGGATGCGAAGGACCAATAGTTTAATAGTGGACGGGATCTTAAAAAGTACACTGGAGAGACTGAGCACATTGACTGTTGTGGATTGACGTGTTGAATGGATGGCCACAGTTGGAAGGTTACAAGTACAGTAGTAATTTGGAAGTGAAGTATTTATGAATTGCTAATAATAAAAGATCCTTTTGAAAGTAAAATGAAACCCTGTCCTCTTTAGGTCGTTAGTATGCTGGAAATCTTTAATAAGTCTCATCTGCATTTGTACTTCTGTATTTAAATTATTTTCCCCAGATGACTCTTTGCTTTGTTAAAGTGACCAAGCATGGTCAGCACAAAGCTCCCAATGACTAGTTAGCTCTTAAGACAGTGTCAGTTTTTGCACTCTGTTATCGCATTTATGTAACATCTTAATTAACTGGTGCACATTTACTGTTTACTCATTGCAATTGAATGTAAACATTCTGGACATAATATATTTCTAAAGACCAGTAAGGTAATAGTGGGAAAATTACTGGATGAGATTAAGTGAAATTTCAGAGAGGCTCAAGATATTACCTGTTATTGTTATTGGTGTGCACAACTGAATATAGATCCCATGGGATTAACTGTTTGGGAAAATGCTATTGGGTAAAATTTAATATATTTACAGGAATGGTACAGTGTTCCATTCCTCAAGAGTAAATAAGATTTTTGTGAGACTCCCCAGAGATGCCCTGTTTGTTTCATTATTTGCAGAGCATTTGCTTGTCTCTGAGCTGCCTGTTTCTCTTTAGTTTCACCATGATCATATTACTTGATTGTATAAGGTATGGAAACATTAGCATTAGGCTTTCTGCTTGTTTCCATTACCATTCACTGATGTTATATGACCTGTCAACAGCTATCCGGTACTGTACTGATTTAGAATATGCAGCGTCAGGAAAATTAGTGTTCAAAATGTGACAAGCAATCGCACTGAGGAGAGTTGAGAGTTTTAGATTGGTCAAACTTTCTGTTGGCTTTTATAACTATTGAAATGCATGGTTTTCAGGTCAGTACTGTTATGATCCCAGCTGAAGTTATTACTGGACTAATCAGATCATAAACCAAAGTCTGACTTGATGGGTCTTTTATTTATTTAACAAAATACTGAAAGCTGGTCTTAACAATAAAACCAGTTTATTACACAAAAATAAAGATGTTAAAATAGAATAAACCAAGCTATGCAATACAATTTGAAACACTTCAAAATGAATGATTAGTGTATAAAATACCCTCTATCTCAAAAGCATTCTATTACGGTACTAAAACTCCAGAGAAAATTCTTTTCTCTACAACATCTATAAATTTGACTTAACCGTTGCTTTCAATCCATAACCTTTGAGAGTTTGATAGCGTCTTCCTTGAATATTCACACAACTGAACTTAGATTTTCTCAGCTTCAAATAACCTGTTCTGTGTTCTAACCAAATAATTCTCATCTGGAATTTTCAAACTAAAATTGTTACACTGATGAAACCTGTTTTCGAACTTTTATGAACTAACTCATTTCTCTAGGAGAAACTGTTTCATACATCCAGCTTCAAGTAGAATATCTGCAAGCTGAAACCAAAATGTTTTCCAAACTCTGTGTTTTATTAAGCAAAAAAAATCTATTCCTGATCCTTCTAACTGAAAGCAAACAAATGCTCTTCAATGTTTACTCTATCCAACTGTGAAACTCTCCCAATTTCATAGCAGTCTAGGAAGTCTCGTATGTTGTGTTTTTTTTAGAAGATGCTTGACTCCAGAAATACTGAAAATTATTCAACCCCTTCATAAACAAAATCTACATACCATTAGTTCAAAATCCAAATTGTAAAATAAATAATACCAAAATGTGCATAAATCACATATCCTGCATCACAGTATATTGGATTGTTTAGATGATGTAATTATGATGTACATGGGAACTATGAGTTGGTAAGGAACATTGTGTGTTGAACAATTGACAGTTTGGACAACTAACGGAACAGTTATAATTATGTAGCACCTTTCATGATCCCTAGACATCTCACAGCACTTCAGTAAATTTGTAATGTAGTCACTAGAAAATTTCAACCTGCTAATCTTACGGCTAACACCATAAAATTTTAAGATCAAGGCACTTTGTCTCTTTCTTTTCTCTTTCATGTTCCTACTTTTTCTCTTCTGCTTGCTGTTCTTGGCACAAAGCATTAACAGCCAACTCTAACCAGATATCTGAGTTGTTGTTTCCTGCCCATGTACATTTTAAGCAGTCTTTTCTGATTTTGCTACTGGGAGGCAGGATCAACAGGCATGCGGGAACATATCAATTAACAAGACTTTTATAACCAAAAGAGAGGTTTATCACAAAATAGGGTCGAGAAGAATTAACTGTAAGAATAAGATGTGCAGTGTTGTTGATGGATCAGTTCTGTAAACAGGAGTCTATTTTTGGCAGGCTTGTATTAAGTTGACAAAAGAGAGACAGGCTGAAACTACAAAACAAAAAGATTACAAAACATTCTCATAGGGGTTCATAATTACAAGAAAATGTTTAAATTCATCCAGAACCAATCTTCTATTTTGGGCATTAACTTTTGAAGTTGCAGATTACACTACCTGTGCCAGATTGGTTACAGGTTGCCGAGTTTGGGATGTCTACCAATATAAGCTTGTATATTAACTAGAATCCATGCAGAATGATTGATTATTTCCCCCTAATATCCCCAGTTGCCATTTCTCCTTTACTGCCCTCTTTTACCATGGGGTGCATAAATAAATCTATTCCTGAACAACTAACTGTAAGCACAAAGCATTTATGCACGCCTTGTGTGCATGTGCGTGGAAGGTTTTGCTAACTCCAGCCGTGTGGATTGAATGCATATTTATGATACTGGGTCATGAGGACATTTTGGTTTAGAAACTGTGGCCTCAATTTTAACCTTGGTTTAATGGGTGGTGTGATTTTAGAAACTCAATCCTTGCTGCATAAATAAGGACTAGTATCACTTCTGGCTAACTTCTGGCCTGGAACAGATTGGAAGAAGGCAGGAGAAATTTAATTTACTAGCTCCACAAAGAAATGAAGAAAATCCTATCCTTTTCCAGCCCCTTTCAAGGCTGATCCTTTTCTAGCCTGGTTCAGTCAGGCAAGATGGTGGCAGTAAATTTCCAGATTAACTCTTGAGTTAATAACATAGTGGTCTAATGTGCTTGTGTACAAGAAGGACTGCACTGGGAACTGGGCAGGTGTCCTTGCTTTGGCCCTTTCTTCTCAAGAAAGCCAGCAGGCAATTAACCTGAGCAGTTGTTGCCCAATTGTCCACTTAACTGCCAGATCGATGAGTTAGAATTGCTTCCTGTTATTTGGGGTTTCCCATGTTCGGTAGTAGCTAGGCTTGTGTAGCACTAAAGGGAAGCTTGTGTTAACTATGAAGAACAGCCTGAACTTTATTCCACTTGCAGAGGTTCTGGAACACACTATGAGCAACTGTTCACAAACCTAAATGCTGACACCCTAACCACTGTTTGTGCTGCAGTCTGCTGCCCTTGCTGTTGTGTGTTGGTCCACCGAGAAGGTAGATCTAAACTTTAGCAATGCTCTTTGTAAGATAAGGATCTCTCGTAACTTATATCTGTTTTATTTTTTGTTGTTATAATGAGGGCTACAGTAGGAAAAGCTGCTGTTTTAAAAAAAGAAGTTTCTTTTATCTTTTTGGTGGAAACTGCAATTATATTTTCCTGTTTGCTTTTTTTCAGGATGCGCAAAAAATCGGCATCAGCGCAGGTAACCAGTCAGATGATACTCTCCAAGACCTGGATGAGAAGGAAGAAATTCCACAAGGGGAAGTGGGCTGGATGACTTCTGTAAAAGACTGGGCAGGTGTCATGATATCTGCCCAAACTCTCACCGGCCGAGTTCTTGTGAGTCTTAACTTTACCTTCACTCCACACATTTACAGTCGATGAAATTCAGCTCAGTTTGATGTGTTGAAACCAGGTTGTGCCTGTGTTCTGTACTAATGGAGATGAAATCTGTTAAATTTGTTGGCGGTCAAATCTATGATTATTTAATTTAAAACTAAAGCCAAGCAGGGGTAGTCCAGTTACTGTGGATTTACTTGAATGTTATTTTGAGCTTTTTTTTCATAGTACTCAGAAGCAAAGATAAGAAAATGAGAAAAGAATACATTTTTTTTTATACCTGTTACTATTGATTTCAGAGAGAAGCTCTGATAATTTTGTTTCAGGTGTTTCTTACCAATGTTTAGGAAGTTAACACACAACTTCATTTAGATATTATGTATGTAATTGTCTAGATATTAGGTTAAGAATAAAAAGATTTTGCTGTATTTGGGGAAATTGAAAGTCAAAACTAATAACAGATCTGCAAGTTTTGTTGAATGTCTTCCCTCTACATTTATCGTAGTTCCAATCTTTGCTCTGGGATATTCATAAAACACCAGTAAAATTGTTGCATTTAATAATTTGGTCTTCAGTGGGCTGCAAATTTCTAAGTGTAGGGGTTGATGTCACTAATAGAATGGGTAGATTCAAAATCCTGCTGATTTTGGGCCTTTGCCTTCATTTACATCAAGCTGACGTCAATTAGGAGAATTGTGGGGGATAGGTGGAAATTTGTGTGTGCTGTGTATTGAGAAAAGGAGGGGGTCACAGGTTCTCAGGAGAGAGGAGAGGTGCTGATCAAGAGAGTTGAGAGGAAAAAAATCAAGATTATAGAGATGCCACTGTTGGGAGATTTGGATAACATAATTGTGTCACAACTCCCAATTAGGTCAATTAGGATAGGCAATCGAGACAGGGAGCAGATCATCGAGGAGAAAGTTCAAGTTGGTGATGGGTCTAGATGATGGATAATCATTGGCAATAGCCTGTGGTTTTCCTCGTTCAAATATCCTTTTTTACAAACTAGCACTTTTAGGTGGCTGCTGCAGTAAGGACAAACCCATTTAATGAAGGGAGGCATCAATCGGCATTGTATAGTGTAACATTTACAGGTAGGTGGCTGAATAAGGCCTGATTTAAGATATGGTTCTTTTGATAATGTATGGCACATGGCAGGTGGTGCTTTTCCACATGAATGTTTTGGTGCCTGTTTTACACTTTTAAAATATGAAATGCCTCATTGAATTTGTATGGATGTCTCTGAGATGTAAAAATGTACGGATACTGGTCTTACTCAAAATATCATTGCAACTGTTCCTGAGATTTTATAGTAGACTATCAACAATATATTTTTAAACTTAAATCACTTTCTTTCCATTGTGAGTGTGAAAAAAATACTTGGAAAATTAGGCTGAGCTGTCACTGAAATACTAATAATTAAAAACTGCTGCTGCAAAAGCTGGCAAATTGATCTCTCGCTTCCGATAAATAAACAATTGATTCAGTGTTGCATAATCTCAAGGCATTGTGTTGACAGTTGTTTGCACAGTTTGGGATAAAAATTAGTTATGGTCTGCATATTAGTCTTTAACCACTGGCATGAAGCTTGTATTCCATCCGAATTTGATCAAAATCCAAATGAGTTCCTCTGAAGCTTGTGCCGTTTACTTTTAATCTGAAAGATATTTAGCAATTAAGTGTTCAGTTGTTCAGATATTCTGTTGATTATTAGTTTATATTTTTATTAGTTTCTTTTTGTTTGCAGTATGTACATTTATGGATGATAACATTCATTTCTATTAGATATTTGGTTTCTCTTAATTTAGTCCCAGGTTATTAGAATAAATATATGGAAATGCTGTCACCATCAGTGATTGTCAGGTGTGAATGTTAGTTACAAAGTTCCCTAACAGTTAGTAGTTCCACTGAGAGGTAGGCAGCACAATTATGTACCCAAAATTTAATGAACCTCTCTCTGTTTGTTGTTAAGACTGCATATATTTTTCAAGAAAGTAACCAATTTCAACACCAATCTTTCTGTTTTCTGCAGTGTTATTACCTGCCAGTTTCAGTTTTTGAAGTGTTGTCTTCAAACGATTTTTAATTATCTCATTAAGAGCGATCAGTCTGCATTTGTACTCCCTGTTCCCTATGTGAAGCTATAATATTTGACAGACTTGTTATACTTGGGGAACAGTTTTACAATCACTGCTAAATGTCTCAGTCCTATATGATGCTGCTTGATCTCAGTTGCACCCAGAATTCAGGTGGCATTTTCAGATCTTTTGCATTTCAGTCTTATCGTGCACTTCAAGTTTTAGAAACCTGCATGCATTCTGCTCAAGGGGATGACTTCACCAATTCCAGTTGGAAGTCTCGTTTATATTGACACACTATCTCAGGCATCATAGAACAGACAAATTATTCCATGTATGTTTGCTATCCTGTCAGCTTATAAAATATAGAGTAGTGCCTTAAACTGATATTTGATAGCTAAATTGGACAAAGAGGCCAATCTAGATGAGAAGATTGGTGGAAGACATGCCATCACCACCCTTAAATCTATGCTTTTTTTCTCAATGTCTGAAATAAGCAGTACAAATCTAGCTTCACCTACTCTAGAACAGAATCATAGAATCCCTACAGTGTGGAAGCAAGCTATTCGGTTCATCAAGCCCATACCAACTCTCTGAAGAGCATCCCACCCAGACCCGCTGTGCTACCTCATCCCTATAACCCAGCATTTCCCATGGCTAATCCGTCTAGCCTGCACATCCCTGGACACTATGGGCAATTTAGCATGGCCAGTCCACCTGAACTGTTCATGTTTGGACTGTGGGAGGAAACCAGAGCACTTGGAGAAAAGCCGAGCAAACACTGGGAGAATGTGCAAACACCACACACACAATCACCCAAGCTGGAATTGAATCCAGGTCCCTGGTGCTGTGAGGCTGCAGTGCTAATCACTGAGCCAATCTATTAAGAATTAATAGTGAAGAATTTGATCCTAAAGTAGCTGGAACTTAAAGCACCCCAATGAAATGTTCTGAAGTAAATATGCAGAGGAGTGATGAAGACAAAAGTAATTTGAACTAGGAGGCAATAACAGAAGTGGACCTGGGTCTTCCTGGATCTGCTGATGCACCAAGAACAGTCCCATTGTTATGAAATAGCGGTATCATAGATTAAAAAGGTTGATTGACCTGAAGCATTAACTGTCAATATTTGAGAGACGAGCAGAGCAGTCAAATTTTCAATTTTTCAATTTTTTCTATTTGACTTAGGTTTATAGTCACGTGTGCTCAAGTATAGTGAAAAGTTTACAATGTCTCCCCACATGGCACCATCTTAGGTATAAAGTACTTAGCTACAAATCTTAGATATGTAATTGGAGAAATAAAGGAAAAAATTTCTATTACCTTAGTTATTCATAGTATGAATTAGAAAAAAATAAGAAATAAAGTTAAAAAGATAAACATTACAGCCTTTCTATAAATGGCGTGCAGTAGATCAGTGCAAGGGTCTTCCACACATGGAATTATTAGGTTTTAAGAAAAACTCTTCAAAGAACTTTAATTGAGCTAAACTTTTGTTAAAAAAAATTGAGTCACATGTTGATTAGATTCATGAATTGTAACCTTGGAAGCTTGCAGTCTGCATTGGGCCACTTAGAAGTATTAAATTTGGAACGTTGCATAGCTTTCAGCCCTTACAGAGCAAGAGACAACCTGTGTGCCAGTAATTCCTCTAATTAGAGTAGGTAGCTGAGGCTGATTTACTGACGAAGAAATTATTAATACTGAAATTGCATTATAGCAAATGTCCAAGTTTTCCTGAAATGCAGGCATACTATTTCATTTAAAAACCATGGTAGTTAAAGGTCAAATACATATTTCAAACCTCAAAACATTACAATGGATTGGTTAACATTATTCGTTCATATTTATTTTGGAGCATTTCTTTGAAGTGCTTTCAATTCCTACTATTTCAGGATCAATTTATTTACTAGTAATTCTTATTAGAGTAAATGAAGCTATATTTACACTCCTAACTTAAGACATTATTAAGAACAGAGCTGCACTCTGGAAAATTCCAATATGTTACTTTGAATGCAGTTAAAATGGAAGCACGTCATAGGACATATAAAAAGTGTAAAGCAGCCTGGAGACTGCATATTTTGGCAAAGCAATACATCCAATAATTATGCAGATGAAAATTATATAAAACAGCATGTGGTGTTTTAATTTGAAAGATGGGAAAATGACAATCAGCACAAATTAGTTTAATTTACTATTAAGACATTCTTGCTGTCTCTCAACAGTAGTGTTCTGCATGGAAAGGAATGGAAGGTGGGAGGAGATCCTGTTGCTTGAATAAAGACAAATGTTTTCTTGAGTTGGAAAATTAAATTACCCTCCCAACTGCTGTCTCTTTGTACTTGACAATTTATTTTCGCTTACTGGGAAACAAATATCACGCACAACCACCAATGCAGCAAAACAAGTAGCATTTTCAATATCATTGTTTTTCTTTGATCATAAAACATTGGCAGTGAAGCTTGTGGCTCCATAATTTCACATTAACCTCCAAATGGTTATTGGTTTCATGATTTGTTATTCTGGTATTTTGTTTCACACTTCTGTTAAAAGAATGATTAGAGGGATTTCAGACAAACGTCAAAGTTAGACCTTTTGGTTATAGTTGAACATAACTCGACCAGCAACAGTTGGATGATTTGGGGGAGCTCAAGTTCTGTCTTTGCAGAATGTGATTGCAGAATTGCAAGTGTAGAGTTCCTGTCCTTCAAAATGACAGAATCTGTGAAGCTTCATCATGATGTATGTCAGTAACACTGGAACTTCACCGTAATGTGTCAGTAACCGTGGAGCTTCATCAGGAGCAGCCAATAACTATAAAGTTCCAACATAATGAGTATCAGAAACTGAGAGACTCCGCAAGAGGTATCATTAACCATGGAGCTCCCCCATGAGTATCAGTAACATGGAGCTGTTCTGACA